TTTTGTTTTTGGATTCGTTACCTTTTAAGTCCATTGAAGAATACATTTCTGTATGGATTTTACTGTAAAACGTTGATTAAAGGCTCAAAAATGTAATTTTTTCGTTTCCGTGGACTCTTAATTCTTATGAAATAACCAAACTTTGGCGGCCATTTTCTCTGTAATTTTACCTCTGAGATCAGGCGACCCCCCGCCTCCTTCAATTGCAAATATTTCGACTTTTGTTCCAGATAAATAGTATCTCTTTCATCTAAAGCAAGACAAATGAACTTGCTTTAAGGTGAAACCAATAACTTGACATGCCCAAAAATTGCCAAGCGCCGTATTCCAGCGTGCCGTGACACATTTTTGTTTTGTTCTTTCAGATCTTAGAAGAAAGGAAAAAAGAATTTGTTCGTTACTCCAAGAAATTCAGCAACACCTTGAAGGAGTACTTCCGAGATACCAATCAGTAAGTGTTTTCTTTTTTGTCGGTCAACATGCTTGCAAATTACACAAGCCAGAAGATTTTGTTTTGGCTGTTGTTTTGCCTTGATGTATATCCCAGGGGGAGACCCCCTTTTTCTGACTAAACTGGAAATAACGGAAGTTTTTTTCTTATCTTCTGTAAGACTGAACGGGAAAGGCATCGACTCAGAATTATATATATACAATATACATGTATATAATTTTATTCTTTAGTTCACTTGGTCTTCAAAGGGAAATGGATGGACCAACCTCATCGCTGCAAGAAAAATGGTTTACTTCTGTTTTCCCAGCTTCTTTAGATGAGCCAAAAAGAAAGACAAAAATAGGGAGCTGCTCGTTTTACTTACAACAGCGGCAATTTTTAATTTTTAATTTATTATTTTCAAATTACAGCATATGTAATTACTGGGTTTTTTCCACAGGAACCAAAACGTTTTTCTGAGTGCAAACTTCCTGATCTACCAGACCAACCTGATCCTGAAGACCGTCAAGCAGGAATGTTGTTGATCTCCCCACCACCACCACCACCACCTCCTCCTCCTGCTCCACTGTCGTCCACCTCATCAGATGCATCGCTAAATGCTTTCCTGGCAAACTATACACTTAATTAAGATTATATGTGAAACATATATATATATGAAGACCACAATGGGAAAAATAATCAATGTACAAACTCCAAATAATTGATGGAATTATTGCCTGTAGCATTTGGGCCAAATTCTCAGTGTACTGTAGACTGTATGTCTTGAGTCTACTCTCAGCCCTTGAAACTGGGAACTTTAAAAAAAAAACACATTGCACCCTGAGGGCCTGGACGGGAAGTCCATTGTTAGATCCTTAGCAAGGGGAAAGAACCCACCTCCCCTGAATACAAGCCTTTATAAAACACATTTTAAAAATACTAAACAAATTCCAAAAATCCTGAAAAAATAAAAGTTAAAAAGAAAACTGAGTGTAGTTTCAGAAAAATATAACTTTATGTATGCGCAAACTGTTGGAAATGTTCTAACTTTAGTTCAATCGGGGTGTCCGACCCGTCACTCTCACTCTCAGCCTCGCGGTCGGGCCCTAGATCTAAATTCTAGATTTTCTTCGTCTGATCAATCTGGATCGCCCCAAACTCTTGCTACAACGTTTTCATCAAAGTCTGAGTCATCTGATTTGTCACATGATCGTTTTTGCTCAAATTCATCGTTATTTCCGTTTTCGAACTCAATTGTGTCGCTTTTCAACAAGTCGAGACACTTTCGAAGTGTCGGTAACGCGATCGCACTTCGATTAGCTTTAATATCAAAACTACTGGCCCGAAAAATTTCGTTTTGGTATCAAACGAAAGAAGAAACTTTTTGCTATAACTATGCAAATCAAAATCTCGGCCTCAGAGTCTCGTCAAGGTGAGACTTCGTTTCTAAAGACGCTAGGTCGGTGCGGGTGGTTCCGGGTGAGTCAGGGTGGTGCGCGTGAGGGAATTCTCGGGCGAGTTAGGGTGTAATGTGTTAAAGAGGGTGCTACAGAAAAAAGATCAGTGTGCTTTAAAATTTAACTCTTGCGGTCACTTGCTGAAATAATGTGTTGGTGAAAATTATCCGTTCTGGACTTGACGCAGTTGTGTGACAGGCCTGAGAAGTCTGTTGCAGTCACTCTTCTGGCTGGGTGACCAGATAGGGTCATTTGTACTGCTGGCGGTGTGACTGCAAAGTGTTACGGAAATTAGTTTCTCTAAACCTGAAACTGTGACTTTGATCATTTTTTTCCATTTTGGTCTTCATCTTTTGTAATATAATGGATAATTTTGTGAGGAAAGTCTTAGAGGGCCTGGTTTCTGTCGTCATACCCCGGTGGTTGGCGGCGCCTTGGTTCTGACTCTAATATGGAGTGTACAGGGCACTGCTTGTTTCGGTAAACCTTTTACAATGAATGAAGCTTCAGGGGAGCAGGAAGAATTTGCTTTATGTTGAAACCACATCTGTCCTGTTTCGGTTTGTTGTATTACGGATTCTGTCCTGTGGGGCACCGATGTCGTGGAATTACCACCTTGACAAACATTTGGGAGGCATCGTGGTGACATCGGGTGCTCGTCAAAATAAGGAAATCATAAGAAACCAGAATTTTTCTGCATGTCGGGCAATTTTTCTAAAAGAAATGTCTGGGTTTTTTTTTGTCCTCAACACCTTTTTTGTCCATATTTCTGTGTGAATTTTACCAAAAAGCGTTGATCCAAGGCCCCCAAAAATGTATATTTGCAGGTTTAAAGGACACGCAAAGTTGGGAAGTCAGCAAACTTTGGCGGCCATTTTCTCGCTAATTTTCCCTGTGACAACAGGTGACCACCACCTCCCTCAAAAGCCTAGATCTATGTCTCGACGTCTGTTCAAGGTGAATGGGTATTTTATTCACCTAAAGCAAGGCAAATGAACATCAAGCTTTACGGTGATACCAAAAAGTTGACGAGCATCTGATTCAACTGTGTCCTGACATTTTACTTAAAACTTTGATGACTCAAAGTAAAAAATGAAAAGTGCTAAGAGTTGTGAGATTTAAAATGCGTTGAAAAGAACTGGGCAGGTCATCTATTTTCTCACAGCCCATGGGTGGTCCACACCACGGTCCATTGTGATTTCCTGTGACCTATATCTATGTGGTCGGAGAGATTCTACATCGTGTGTGGGTTGAGAAAGGGCAAACGGAAAGGGCGAGTCGGGTTGTTGTTTTTTTGTCATGAGTTTTTGGATCACAGTTTGTTTGCAATGATTTGTTTTGCTTTGTTCTGATGTAATTTATGCAAGGACATCTTTGCAAGAAGGGTTTCTCGGACAATTCTGCTGTTCTTCAAAAAGGAGTTACTGTTACTGGTGGAAAGTAGCAAACTATGTTATTACACAAGCATTATTGTCGGGGATGCAAACTTGTTATTGACTGAATATTTGTGGAGGAAATGGATCAATCACTGCGGGCTTTTGTGTCTATGAGAAAGTGCTAGAGTAATGCGACAATTATTCCAGAGATGTCGTTTTTCCGTAAATTTACTGAAATCCGGAAATGAAAAATTGCCGTATAAAGCTCCTTAAAACTTCCGTACGATATATGTAAACAAGTCACTTACAGAATTGTGGAAGTACGTAAAATTAACGGAGTGCCGTCGAGTCAAATTTGTGATTAATTCTGCCCGCTTTCAGTTTCCGTCGGAGAGTGGCACGAGGTCGTTGGCTTTTACTGATGTAGTGTCTAGATCTAAGATCTTTTCTAGATTACCTTCCAAGTCTATGATATCAATAATATCATGGGATATTTCTTGGATTTTTTAAATTTATGCTCTTTAAAAAAGTTCAGTTTAAAAAAATCATGTGGAGTTACAATCTCTGAATTATTAATCGGCAAAGAGCCAAGCTCACCTGTTTTGGTTTTGGCAAGAAGATTCTGATTGTTTAGAACTGGAAGGACTGGCATCTATGGTGTAGTTGCTAGGTTTTTCACTGCTGCGCACTGAAGGTTTGGATTTGATTCCTCTGAAGGTTTGGATTTGATTCCTCTGAAGGTTTGTTGTTTTATCTCTGAGTAGCTCAACTTTGGTTGGCCCTGACAGCAGCCAGCCTCCTACTTGATCTAAGTTGTGTCGATGGAGATGTAAAACTATCAATCATTTAGAAGACTTGTGAGGAAAGTAAAGTGAACCAAGTGGTTGTGGCTACTTACGAAGTGTAGAAAGTTTGCAATGTGCTGGACTTTCAACATTTATAGATCTATGTGCTTTTTGAAACAAAGCTACTGTTGGTAAGATTTTTAAGAGCTTATTTCTCTCTCTCTCTCTGTCTCTGTCTCTCTGCTTTCCTCTCCCCCCACTCCCTCTCTTCTCCCATAATGTATGCTCCCTCTCTTCTCCCATAATGTACGCTCCCTGTGTGCAGGGATCCTCATCATCCCTTTAGAAACAACGTTGCCATCCTAGAAATTGGTTGTGACTAAAAACTGACATGAATGATTCATGGAATAATATTATGTAAAAAAATAATTTACAATTATGAAAATATATGTAAATAAGGTGATGATGAAATTCATTCTCAGAAATCATTCCACCTGCCGAGTGGGAAGAAGAAGAATGATCTCTGTGGACTCTAAATGGGGAGATCACCAGACACTGAGATAATTGTGTAGCTGGGAAATCAAATTTTGAATTTTCATGTGTCGAGAAAGGAATTCTAAATTCATGTATTTGCCCTTTTTTCTGCTCTGTTTTTGCTGGTGAGTTACGCTTTTCTTCTATGGGTATCACAAATATAGTTGCTGTATTATCAATCTGTAAATCGTTTTTGTTGGAGAAAAACAACAAAACACCACAATAATGGCCTCACAACCCTGTACAAGTATTGATGATGTATCGATACAGTAACAATAAAACACCCCAATAATGGCCTCACAACCCTGTACAAGTATTGATGATGTATCGATACAGTATCATACAGTGTGGCACCAACATAGTGGAAGCAGCAGAAGGCAGAAATCTTTTTGTTATGTACGAATTTTTGTTTGTATGTGTTTCAAATACAAATAATATAGCCTACTTGTATAAAAAAAAATTTGTTACTTATAAATGAAAATCTGTTTGCTATGTACGTGTTAGGCTATATATATATATCTGATTCCCACCTGTCTTGTAGGCCTACAATTTCCAAGACAGTATATATAATTGTGAACTGTATTAATGATGATATTGTTAATTTCCTCGATCTGATAAGAATGAATATGGCTACAACTACAATCAGTGTAACGTGTATGAACCAGGTCATATTTTTCCATTCCATTTGTGGGGTATCTAAAGAGTGAAACAGACTGTGCTGTGTGTGTGTGTGTGTGTGTGTGTGTGTGTGTGTGTGTGTGTGTGTGTGTGTGCTGTAGCAGTGTTGTTACTATGATGGGGAGGGGGGGGAGCAATGTAAATGTAGGCCAATGCCAGAAGTTTGGTTTTGCTTGAGTTTTTTTTGGGGGGAAGTGCCTTTTTTTTTTCTTTTCTTTTTTTGTCTTGATATGAGAAAATCTCGTTGCTTTTTAATTTTTTGTTATTTATCAGAGTTTGTGATGCAATGGTTTGGCTTTTTTTTCTGTTGCTCGCAGAAGGTGTGAGTTTAGATCCCTGGTGGGGAAACTGTTCACGTACAGCTATCTCAGTTGATATGCTGGGCTACTGTTTATCCCTTACAGTTACAGTCTGGTTTGGCAGGCTGCTCGCCTTCCTGAGCAATACAACTTTTGTTATTGGGGGTAGAGAATATCTACAATCATTCGTCTTTTTTTTCTTCTTTGAAAGTAGTTGTACAAGTCAGGTATGGTTACGATTCAACATTCTTTGTAATATTTTATCTATTCCTCCCTGCTGAAAGAAAGTATGAATCTTCTGCTTTGAAAGGCTACGATTTGGCCCCATAAATATATAAAATATATATATATTATATATATGCACAAGATATATATGCAAAGAAAAAAAAAAGAAAAGAACAGTCGTTTTGTGTAGCGGAAATTGAACAAAAATGCCTTGACTTTATTTACCTCCATGATTCTGCTGTTTGAGTGGAACACCTTGCATCTATTCGAATTATTTTTTGTCGCATTTGGAAAAAAAATGTTTTTGAGTCATGAATTCTATTCTAATTGTCCAGTCTCAACAATGTTGTTCTGCTTCTACAGTGGACCCCACTAGTGTTGAACTCGCTTGAGTCGATCTTCCTTTAACTTGATCTTTTTCTCGGGGTCCCAGCACCTCTTCTTCTGTACAGGTCCCAACGGTTAAGTTCAACTTTGGTTGAGTTGGGGGTTTTTTTGGTCAGTTTCCTGACGACATCACTCATCTGATCATCGACTCATCCGTAGTCAACTGTATTTGTTAGAGACAGAGAGATTGGTACCCAACTAGGATGGAAAGATGTAGGTCATTTCTCTTTAGTTGACCAGGTAAAAAAGTTAATTTTTACCTTTATTTATATTTTCTAGTTTGTTTTTTAAAAAAATCCAAACGGCAGAAGTCTACTTGAATTAGACTTTTATAATTTGTACACATCTTCAACAGGGTATGTGGAAAATCTCTCAGTACTCATTGCATTTATGTCCTTTTATTTGGCGTGTTGTATTTTGAGCTGACTGACCAAAAGGTTTACATATCGCGACAGTGGCGCAACATATCTTGGCATCTTGTGTGATGAGAATAACTTGAAAGTGTCTCGCAGAGAGCAGGAGGTGTGTGTGGTTGACCTCCGTGTTTATAGTAAATAGCAATGCCATATTTTTATATTCCAACTTCATCTCTTTCCCCACAGATGTTTACTTGGTGTATGAAAAATAACAGTTATTTTTTGTTCAGCATTTTTATCATCACTCAAACAGAACAGACCTGCCACTCATTTATATTGGTACCATGTTCTACCCCGCAATGAAGAATTTTGTTTCCCTGTGTTGTTGGGTTTGCAGTTGCGAGCGCCGTAAAACCTCTACTAAAAAACTATTCAAGATAGATCTAGAAGGGTGTTTTTCTCATCAACAAAAGCGAGGCAAGTGAACCAGCTTTAAGATGATGCCAGTAATTCTATGTGCCCAAAAATTGACGAGGGCCTGATTCCACCTTGTCACGACACCCCAAAAAAAAAATCAACTAGTACCGGAGTTGTTAGGTCAATCATCTGCTGTGCTTGAGTCACGGGTTTTTCTGTTTCTATTGAGAGTGGCGGTACAAATGAGTTATTTATTAGTTGTTCATCTTTGTGAAACCTGGCCACTTACAGAGTTTCGAGAGTTGTGGTGACTACATGTTTTTAAGAATCATAAGTTGTACATATATATGAATATCCGTGAAAGTTAAAGTTCTTCAAATTAAATCTATACTTGATACAAACTTAACATGTTTTCACTTTGATTTGTTTCTTTATTTTTCTATTTGCCAAATCTCCTCCCATGGAGTAGATTCTACACGTAATACTGATACAGTGGCCTAGGACATTTTCTCTTTGCCAAATCTCCTCCCATGGAGTAGATTCTACACGTAATACTGATACAGTGGCCTAGGACATTTTCTATTTGCCAAATCTCCTCCCACGGTTGTAACGTTTATTTGTAGGTAAGGTTTATTTGTAGAGCTGGAAAAGAACTGAAGTATCGAGGTGTTCCTGGTGGGTTCAACTTCTTTTCTTTCCTTCTGTTATTTCTGTCTATCTCGCCTTTTCCTTGTACGAAATAACTGGTACCGCGACGATGTTCTTCTCTTCGTCATGTGTAAGTTAAAACCTTATCCGTACGCCTGGGGTCATTTTGTACCCCCGGGTTTGTATTCTTCACATTTTAGAATACTTCTAGTGCGAAGATCTCTTTAAAACTTTCAGTATTTCTCAAAAAGTCATTTTGGCAGACTGCTATGCAAAGCGTACGGATTGGATTAACGAGTAAATTTCCTCTTTGGAAAGTGGTGGCACGCTTGGATATGGTAGTAAAACATGGCATACAGATAGGGTTTTAAAAAATACCGGTATCTTGACTGCTCATTTTAAGAAAAGCCTGTATTACACGTATAGTTACAACTGACAGTTGCAGGGGTGGTGATTTTTTTAATTTTTTAAATTAAAAAAATCGATTTTTTAAATTTAAATCAAAATTTTTAAAATTTAAATAGGATTTTTTTTTTTCTGATTTAAAAAAAAATGTCGACACAGTTTCGGATTTTTGGTTGCTAAAAGTATGTTCTTTTAGTGCAAAATGCATTGTCTTTATTTTAACAAATGATTAATTTAAGAAACCGCAAAAGAAAGCCTTAATCTGCTATATCAGTGAATTATGGCTACAGACAAAACATGAAGGAAATGTCAGTCTAAAAGGAAGGGGGGGGGGGGGTGTAATTATGCACAGATAAACAGAAACTTGCATTTTATTACAGTGTGTGTGTGCACGCGCTTGTGTTTGTCTAAAAAGAAAAAGAAAATGCTAATTTCAATAATGAAAAAAAAAGTAAATTGAATACTGTATTATTTTACTACTTAAACTTACAGTGACAGGAGGGGAAAGCAGACTTTTCAGCATGATTATTTTAGTCTACTACACATGTTATTACTGTTTTATAAAACCAAGGAAAGGAATTCTGAATATTTAAAGATGTAAAAACAATACATTTTTTAAAGTGATTTAAATCACTGAGTTTTATTTTTAAAATCAAGTTGATTTAAATCTTTTTAAATCAACTGATTTAAATCAACCCAACCTTGATTTTAATTATGAAAAAAAAAAGTCAATTGAATACTGTATTATTTTACAGTGAAAGGGGGGAAATCAGACTTTTAAGCATGATTATATTAGTCTACTAAACCTTATATCTGTTTAATAAAACCAAGGAAAGGAATTCTGAATGTTGAAATGTGTAAAAACTGAATAAAAATAAATTTTGTAAAAAGTGATTTAAATCACTGATTTTTATTTTTAAAATCAAGTTGATTTAAATTTAAAAAATCAAGTGATTTAAATCAACCCAACCCTGGACAGTTGTCCGTCGTCCTCTTTGTGAGAAGGAAATGACTCGTGATGCAATCTCAACAAAAATACTTCTTTTTGTGATCTTAAAAATTCAGCAAGGAAAAGAGTCGTCCGCGAGTCATTTTGTCCGTTTTGATAAGCTGGTTCTGATCCGCGAGTCATTTTGTCAGTTTTGATAAGCTGGTTCTGATCCGCGAGTCATTTTGTCCGTTTTGATAAGCTGGTTCTGATCCACGAGTCATTTTGTCAATTTTGATACAATGGTTCTGAATTTGACATTATTTTTATGTTCAGACGTAGTTTTCAGAAAGTTTACAAACGAGAATTGTATGAATAAGGCCATACAATATTTATGTAGGACAAAAAATCGTAGCAGTTTTCAGAGGAGGAGAAAATCTGATTAGCTTCAGATTTAGAAAGAACTTAGAATTCCACTTTGAAAAATTAGGAAAAAAAACCCATCATAGATCATTAGGCTGTTGTGGAAACAGAAAGCGGCAGCTCTGTGGGGTTGTTGGGCGCTAGTCGTGAGTGTTAGGAACAAGTACATCATAGTAGACCTACATGTATGCACTAAAACAAAATCTTACATTTGAGTCTAGCTCATATAGACAATGATCATTATGATGCTTTTCCAATTAGGCCTATCTAAACATGCAGCACCAGTCAAAGTAACGTACTTTTTAGAAAATAGAAAACTTAGATAAATAAACAAGAATTGTTCCCTATTATTTTAGTTTTTGTTAGAGTGTTATGGCACTTGCAACACAATAAGGTCAGGACTCAAGTGCTAAAGATGAGAGGTGTTACAAGATTAGAAGAGTTCCAAGAGAATTACAACTCCAAAAAGAAGTAGAGATCAGGATGTTTTATTTAGTAGGCAAAATACAAAATGTAACAACAGAAAAAAAGAAGAAAATTTTGGAACTCTCTCAACAAAAACAAGTCAACATTGGTGTTAAAAGACATTTATAAACAAAAAATGTCTTCCTTTCAAAGTTATGCCATTATTCTGTACAGGTGCTTACCTGCTCACTTCAAATACTCCAGAAGAATGTTCTCAAGCATTAGCCAGCCCATACATTTGAGTAGTGTAGCGGGTTCAAAGGTGTGTCCCCTTTCAACACAGTGAGTAGATTTTATTTTGTTTGAGGGATGGGACCTCTGAAGTCAACTTTTATCTTAGAACCGGGCAAAGTTAATGAAGAGACTTGAAAAGTCCTCAAGGAAAATAAGTTCAGTAATGCCTTATAGTCATAGGGGGGTTAGACACAGGGTTATATTTGCACCAAGGCCATCACGATGGCTCTTGGACTCCCGACTGTAAGGTCGTGTGTTCGAATCTTGTCAGGGGCCTGGTGTTTTTTGGTTGTTGTTTTTTTTTTGGGGGGGGAGGGGGAGCACTTTACACAAATTTTCCGCATTTCATCCCGTTGGGAATGGGTACCAGTACCAGGCTAGAGACATTGAAAGATCTTGTCAGTTTGTTAGTGTTTTAGCCCTTAGTTCTGTCAAGGGAGGATATGCTCTGTACAATCAATGCTATTTATTATGATCATTGTCACCCTTAAGCTTATGGCATGCTCTTCTTTATTTTACAAAGGAGAGTGTGAAAAAATGTACAGAACTAGAAGTGAATACACACATTTCAAATGTATCCCCCCCCTCCTCCACACTGCTACATCAAAGAAAAAATGATTAATTCCTCCCAGCCTGACTGGGCCCAGTGACAGAAAGCAATGTTTCACCCATGATACGAGATATGTGCACAACCTGTACTTTTTCAAAGATCAAAATGGAAACTTTATTTAACAAATTATGAGAGTTTTATAACACGATGTGAGGTGCAGCCAATGGCCTTACCCTGATTAAACTGACTTACCCCCCCCCCCCACTCACAGACGACGGTGACAGTACACCATAGTATGTACTGAATCTCACTGAGCATTCTTGAGAGCAAGGTGAACAGTCTCCAGTTCCTCTCGCACTTTGCCCAGGTATCCGTTGGCCTCCTCCTCGTCTCTGTCCATGGCGCTGAATAGAGAGAAAAATGAGTTCATTCTGGGACTTCAGCCCTGTGGACACTAGAAGGATACGAGAGATGTATAGGTCGGGCTTTGAACAGTTGATCACAAGAAATGATAAAAGACATGTTTAACCTTGAGGGAAATGGCGTCAGTTCAACTCTATCCGTACGCCCCGGGCTCATTTTGTACCCCCGCGGTTGTTTTCTTTACATTTTAGAATACTTCGATTACGAAGATCTCTTTGAAACTTTCAGTATTACGAAGATCTCTTTGAAACTTTCAGTATTACGAAGATCTCTTTGAAACTTTCAGTATTTCTCAAAAAATAATTTTGACAGACTGCTAAGCAACTCGGATTAACGAGTAAATTTCCTCTTTGGAAAGTGGTGGCACAGAGTTCCCCACGTCGTATGGATACGATAGTAAAACACGACGTACGGATAGGGTTAAGTGGTGGCACAGAGTTCCCCACGTCGTAGGGATACGATAGTAAAACACGACGTACGGATAGGGTTAAGTGGTGGCACAGAGTTCCCCACGTCGTATGGATTCGATAGTAAAATACGACGTACGGATAGGGTTAAAACCAGGTACATGCATCTCCCTCTCTCACAATGAATGTATTCATCTCCCTCTCTCACAATGAATGTATTCATCTCCCTCTCTCACAATGAATGTATTCATCTCCCTCTCTCACAATGAATGTATTCATCTCCCTCTCTCACAATGAATGTATTCATCTCCCTCTCTCACAATGAATGTATTCTCACCAGCAGCACACAGCCAATGTCCTCTCCACGCCAAACTGCGAGCGTCCACTGACCAGCTCTCTGTCCAGCTTCTCCAACCGGTTGTTCAGATGTTTTATCTCATTCTTCGTCTTCTCAACTGCAAGATCGGGGACACTGAGATCAGAACTGTTGTTGTTCAATTTTACCACATAAGAATAAATGCTGCTCGATCCTTCTTTCCTATGAAATATCTGTCGTCATTATCTCTACCCCTTCTTTCTTGTGTTTGTCACTCTCTAGCAACACCTGTAAACAACACCTGTAATCTTCAATATTTATATGACTTAATTGTGTCACAAGTGCCATAAAACTTTTACTGAAACAAAAAAAAAAATGTGCGAAACAAGAAAAATAGTTTGAGGTTTGATGCACATGCTGAGGAGCTCCACCCCCCCCCCATTTGTCTCATTCAAAAGGAATAGTAGCTCAGCTGTCCTGTCTTGAAGCACAATTTGAAATTTTCCCTGAACGGCCTACTCTAAGCACTTAACTTCCTGCTCTATGATAGTCCTCAAAAATCCAATGTCAATGTGTGATGAGAGCTGCTCCGAGCAGACAGGAAAGTGGATATAATAATCAAACTGAAACTTACTAAAGAGTGGCTTTTCCAAAACATGGAAAGTAAATTTTGACCAACGACTGATTTCACCATGATGCTACACAATACATATACACATGAATAATACAATCATACAATACATGTGTGTGTGTGTGTATGTGTGTGTGTATGTGTGTGTGTATGTGTGTGTGCTTCGAGACATATACACATGAATAATACAATCATACAATACATGTGTGTGTGTGTATGTGTGTGTGCTTCGAGACATATACACATGAATAATACAATCATACTATATGTGTGTGTGTGTGTATGTGTGTGTGCTTCGAGACATATACACATGAATAATACAATCATACAATACATGTGTGTGTGTATGTGTGTGTGCTTCGAGACATATACACATGAATAATACAATCATACAATACATGTGTGTGTGTGTATGTGTGCTTCGAGACATATACACATGAATAATACAATCATACAATACATGTGTGTGTGTGTATGTGTGTGTGCTTCGAGACATATACACATGAATAATACAATCATACAATACATGTGTGTGTGTGTGTATGTATGTGTGCTTCGAGACATATACACATGAATAATACAATCATACAATACATGTGTGTGTGTATGTGTGCTTCGAGACATATACACATGAATAATACAATCATACAATACATGTGTGTGTGTGTATGTGTGCTTCGAGACATATACACATGAATAATACAATCATACAATACATGTGTGTGTGTGTGTGTGTGTGTGTGTGTGTGTGTGTGCTTCGAGACATATACACATGAATAATACAATCATACAATACATGTGTGTGTGTGTGTATGTGTGTGCTTCGAGACATATACACATTAATAATACAATCATACAATACATGTGTGTGTGTGTGTATGTGTGTGCTTCGAGACATATACACATGAATAATACAATCATACAATACATGTGTGTGTGTGTGTGTGTGTGTATGTGTGTGTGTATGTGTGCAGCATTGTGGTGAAATCAGGTACTCTTCACATGTAATTCAAATGAAAAAAAAAAAGGCAAATAATTGTAATTTCCAGGACGAGCTAGTGCCAGCCAGTCCGTGACCTAACACTGGTGCATTTTGATCTCCAGTTCAAAAACAGACCTCTATTTCCCATGAGTAGACCTATTCTGCTTGGCATTTATTTTTTCCAACACCATCTTCTTGTGTGTATTCTTCTGTCATCATTTAGGCATGGAACTTGTGTAGTTGCAAACGCCGTAAAACTCTCTCTTTCTAAACTAAACGAAGACATTGAACGTTATCTATTCATTTCATTAAATAACTCGGGCCCCTGGTCTCTCTCAATACCACCTTCAAACTGTCAGATTTTTAACCCATTAACCAATAATCAATAACACATCATTGGTCTGACACAAACGTTGAAACCCCCCTCTGATGGAAAGAGTGAAAACTTACCTCTTTGTTCCACGCTTTGCAACTCCTGTTCTGTATTCTGAATTTCCTTCATCAGAAGATCTTTTTTCTGCATTAAAAAAAAAAAAATTATTTAAAAAAAAATATTTAAAAAATTGTTTGTATATATATTACTATTCTGATTCTTCACCATCCACTTGCACTTTGTGAGAAACAATAGCTGCTAGAACGTCGTACCAACTTGGTGAACATTACAACGGAGATGTGATCACAAGACTGGACGGTCCTTGATGCAGTGGGAAGTAGGCCTACAATGATCGCACATTTTCACTGCTTGATTGATCAGCGGCACTCGTCTGGGTTTTTGATCTGTAATTATGATCTGAATCAGGATCTTAGCTGAATGTAATACTTCAAAATGGGAGCTACGGGATAACTTTGGAGCAGTAAACATTCTGTTTTTTGAAAACAGTGGGATCTTAAGCGGTGGTATACTGGGTGGAGTCTACTGTAAAAGAAACTAGTGGGGACCAGGTGCCACTGCTGATCGTAGCACCCTGTTTTGAGTAACGATGTTTGTGTTTTTCTCAAAGGACAACCGCGCCTATGTACCATCTAGTTCTATGTACATCTAGCACCTCAAACATGTATACACCCATGCCTATGTACATCTAGCACCTCAAACATGTATACACCCATGCCTATGTACATCTAGCACCTCAAACATGTATACACCCATGCCTATGTACATCTAGTACCTCAAACATGTATACACACCCTATGTACATCTAGCACCTCAAACATGTATACACACCCTATGTACATCTAGCACCTCAAACATGTATACACCCATGCCTATGTACATCTAGCACCTCAAACATGTACACCCATGCCTATGTACATCTAGCACCTCAAACATGTATACACATCCTATGTACATCTAGTACCTCAAACATGTATACACCCATGCCTATGTACATCTAGTACCTCAAACATGTATACACCCATGCCTATGTACATCTAGCACCTCAAACATATACACCCATGCCTATGTACATCTAGCACCTCAAACATGTATACACCCATGCCTATGTACATCTAGTACCTCAAACATGTATACACACCCTATGTACATCTAGTACCTCAAACATGTATACACA